CAGCAACCAGAAGACTTCGCAAACATTTGTTCTTTGATTTCCAACTCTCTCCCTTACAATAGACCTTTCCCTTCTTCCTCTTTACATCTCTCTTTCTTCCAGCTCTGTGTCTAGAGATAAGACTATCCTTACTTTTTAATTTCCAAGGAGAATTAGGCTGGTCTTCTGAAGACACATTCCCCAGGATCACACCTTATCCACTGACAGCTGGGAATAGCCAGGACTGCAGTTCCAGAGAGCAATTTGCCTTCCCTCGGTCCCTGCAGAGCTAATTCTGGTGGTCCACTAAATTGAGTTCTGGAGTTAGCCTTGCCCAAGTGGGAGCAGACAGCCTGCAAAGCTATTTGCATGGCTGTGTTCTCACTGGCACTGCACTGATCTACACATTTCACGAGGGCTTCAGGGAGCATGTCTCTTGGCTCTTAGAGCTGCACTACACTGAGCTGCTCTGTGTCCTCCCTTTTGAAACGGTTTATTTGTTCTTCTGGATGTGGGTAGGAAGTTGAAAACCATCACCACTGAAGTAGTATAGCCTATGTGCTAACAGCAAAGTTGGCCAGTTACTTGGAAGCTCAGCTGAAAGTATTGAAGTTAGCCCTGGACAGCCCAGGTGGCTCAGCTTGAAAACCTCACTGGAAGCCAGTAGGTCTTCACAGAAGAGTGAGTGAGAACACCACACCTCTCACTGTGTGGAGTACTTTTCATTCCCTGAGCATTTCCATCTAGATCAGACGTGCAATATGCTCCCTCCTTAGCCAACTGTCCTCTGCCGGAGGCACCTTTACAGTCCCACAGTCTTTTGTTTTTTCACCTTTTACTGCCCATAATATGGCCAGCTATGTCTAGTTGGTGACTGTACTGAGAGCTGACCAGAAGAAACACCTGGCTTAGGCAAAGCTCTTTAGCCTGTACATAGATACCTTCTGTATCAGCAAAAATCAAACCATCCTCCTGCCTGGCAATCACTGTGTTTCCACTAGGGGACCCCCTTAGCACCTGATCTGGTGGACAGTCTGAACAAGCTGAAGATATCAGTTTATAGTACATTCCTGCTCACCGCCACGGTCCCACCTCCTAAATTACAGACGGATTGTCCTCTGCAGTCTAACAGATTGAGGCTTTGCCAAGGCTAGTGTGTCCCATACTTTGGGTTTGCTCTGTCTTTTCCTTCATAATGGTTGCAAGTTCTCTGCTCCATCGTGTTCCTCTTTCTGGGTAAGGCTGAAGGCTCCTGGGTTGTTCCTCAGAACACCTCTTCTGGTGACAGGCCAGCTGCAGGAGAACAGCAGAGAGCCCTGCTCCTACAGTGCCTTCTCCTGCTAGGAGAGGTCACAACTGGGTGCATCACAAGCTTCCTACAACTTCAGGCTCCTGAGGCACTCTCAGCTTGAGGAATTTCCACCAGGAATAGCAATGAGAGTTCTTTGCAAAGCATTAATTTGCAAACATGGTGTTGTATATTTGTTTGATATGGTGCATATTATTTATATAAATAAAGGTCTTACAAATGAGGATCTAATTTTGTCATTATTTTGGTACCATGTGGGTGAGGGAAGAAAAATTTGACACAAAGGATTGATATATCATCTATTCTTTCTGATTTCTGGAGAGACAACCTGATACTATCCTATTAAATGTCTTTATCCTTTCACTTGTAATTTTGAAGTGCTAACAGTGTCACCCAGCAGATCAAGGCAGATAAAGTGTTCAGGTACTTTGGAATACTAACCAAAATCTGTGATGTAAATGCAAAAGTTATTTGAGATGCTTCCTTCGTTGTTGGCAAGCCTATCATTCCCATTCACGACTTATAATTGACCTAAGTGGACACAGAATGCTGACCCAACATACTTCACAAAACAGGAAGAGAAGCAGAGATGCAAAAAAGGATCTCTGTCTTTCAGCTTTTGATATTGGCCTGCACAACATCATTGTCCTACTTGGTGAAATTGTTGGAGAGCAACCAGCAAAAGTAGCATTTTCTAAAAAAGCAGTTTAGAAAACCCAGCAGCTGGCTTTTGCTTAAAGGCTGACTAACACTGAGTTGAAGATACTTGTTGAAACATGACCATTGTTGACACGGTGAAGTAGGAGAATAAATGCAATAAACAAATGCAGAGAAACACAAACTGCATTCAGAACGCATCCTAGGTTTAGATTCTTCTGAATCTAAAGCAGATTAAATTCAGAGTGAATTGTTCAGCTAATCCATGTGATTCAGCTATAGAGTTTAGCTCTTCTGCTAGAGATTTTCTAACTACACTTTTTCTATTCTCAGATACCAGTTCATATTATTTTTTACAAGATATTCTTGAATTTGGCATTATAAATCAGTTCAACCTCAAATGTGTCTATGTCAAGAATAACTCCCTGGGGGGTGATTGTTATGCAATATCACTACTTTTTCAACCTAAAGTATTTTACTTGCTTTGCAGACTGGGTATATAGTGAACATTTCACTGATGCTTATGCACAGCCTATCCCTTATGGAGATAGTGGCTGTGATATTCTTGGTGTCTCCTCCCTTTATATGCACCTGGGCAGAAGGTAACGTCTCAAGAGGACTGTGGCAAATATACCTCAAGGCCCCAGTTGTCCGAGGTGTGGGAAATGGGGGCTTGTGATTTCTGGGAGGAAGTTTCCTCCCCAGACTGTGGGGAACAGCCAGAGCAGAGACATATGGTACCAGCCCCAGTCTTACCTGGTTCACCTGCCCACGGTTTGCAGCAATAAACAAGGCACAGGCACATCTGAATAGCTGATTGGTCTTTGATAACAGATGAAACAGGATAAATGGTATGAGATGGCTATTGGTACAGCGTGGGAAACTGGGAATGGCTGCCATCTCCTCGTACACAAGGGCGCCTGGCACCCTTTATGAGGGTGTTGGCTGGAGGAATGTTGTTCCTAGCTGGAAACAGCTCCCAAAGTCCAGCTCTCAACAACCCCCAGAAGATGTCCATTGAAGAGCAGGACACTGACATCATTCCCACAGCTGCATACAGCATTACTCCAGCTCAGTGCACATAAGAACTTTGCAATATAAGAAACAGATAAACATGAAACAATGCAAAAACACACTTCAGACCCTTGCAAACACAAGCATGTCTTCCCCCCACTTGCTTTCTCTTTCTCTCCCATATGCTGGTACTTGGAAGTCAGGATAGAAAGAGTCTTCAGAGTCGTGGAGTCCAGTCCCCTGTTACTTGTCCCTTCAGGGGGGTTTCAGCCTGGATGTATTCATGTCCAACACTGTTCTCTGGTTCGACTAGTTTTTTCTCCTCTCCCTGGTGCTGACCCTTTAGTGTTCCTATGAGCAGAAATTTCATTATTTAATCGCATATGTACTAAATAGTCATGGAAACGGAAGTCAAATTTGGTTCACAGAAGAAACTTTGGAGGGATTTGGCAGAGAAGAGACCACTTGTTCAGACATAGCCAGTGATGATGAGCAGAGCCTCTGAAGTGGAAGGAGAAAGTGGGTTGCTGCAAGACCAGAGGTCAGAGCAGAAGGGGAGGCACCAAAAGCTGGCAAGTATTTTGAAGGTTGCCTTTGGTTTTTAAACCTCTCATACATTTTTGTGATAGGCAGGTTTACCCCCAGGCTTCCAAACCCGCATCAGATACAGCTAAAACTCCACTGTTTTGCTGCTGTTGTCATTGTTACTTTTAAGCATCCCAGCTGAAGGACTGTTGGGGCTTTTAAAGGCACGGGGCTGATACTGAGAGAGGTAATCTTCCTGCCTACAAGGGGCCTGTCTCCTCACATGGGTAAATGCACCTAAGTTCCAGGGCGGGGAGGATGTTGATGTCTCCAGGCTATAATCTTGTTATTAGTTCACAGTTAAGAACTATCCTACTCTACAAGTTGGCCCAATGTTTATATCAGTCCAGAGGGACAGAAGAGGATAAGAGCAGACCAACTGCCTTCTGTGGTTGCCTTTATGGGCGAATACTGTGGTAGACCCACCCCTAGGCCCTTATCTGCCAGTAGGGGCACAGCAGAGATAGAGCAGGTTGCAAATTCACTCTGGTAGACAAAACTGGTGTGAAAAATTTCGCTGAGCTGACTTGGAACTGGCAAGCTTCCAAACAGACCACAGGAAGTTTGTCCTCCTGGCTTTAGTGGGAAAGGCCTGAGCCCTGAGCATGAATGGTTATGGACCCTGCTGTACTCAACTACACATCGATCAAGTGATTTGATTTCTCCTTAAGGAAACAAAGAGTAAACGCTATAATGGCCAGAAAGAGGGCATGTGACATCCAGTGTGAGGTCCTATACAGGAGGAAGAATACTTCAGCTGTGCTACAAACTGCTTGGAGTTATTTTATTTGGTTTACACAGGAGACACTCCTCACCAGTTGTGCTCAGCCTTGGGTATACTCTCATACTGCAGGGACTGGAGCTGCTTCCTCAGCTGGCAGCTTTTCTGGCTGTCTTGATTTTCTGCTAAACATCTGGAGATTTTGGCATGGCCAAAAGATGCTATAAGCACTAATAAACTAGAAGAGATAGGCATGGTTCCCTCCAACCCCTGCCTTACCCTTCAAATCATTGTTTGTGCCTGCATGTTGCAGATTCCAGCACCGGCACATTGCCCAGTGGGATGACACAATGGGTCTCCTGCTTGGAGAGACTGGGAATTATGAAACACGGAGCTCCCAACATGATTCATTCAGATGTTCTACATTATTTGCAGTGCAAATTGAAAACTGCTGCAAGACTCAGCACACTTGTATCTTCTTTTTGCCTTCTGCCTGTACAGATAGCTCAGAGTTTTCAATATCTCCTACTTCGCCATTCCACTCAGTATTTCCAGCTAGAAAAAGCAGAGGTTTTTTTGCCTTGTTCCCCTAGTGTGCAATGAACAGCCAGGTCTCCAGAATGTGGAATTGCAATGGAGCGATGTGTACCAAGGAATGGAACAAGAAAAGCAAAGTTTCCAAGGGGTTGACATTTTTTCCTTTTATTCTGTTGGTTTTACAGTCATAAATGTAGGGAGAATAAAAACTTAAAGTGAGATATAACAGAATTGCATAAATACTGTAATAGCCTGAAGTATTTGCAGAAATATATAAACACGTATCCATAGGAGTGATCTTCATAAGAAATTCTCAAAACAACAATGCATGGCTCTGATTACTTCTTTGGAACAGACTGGAGCATGAAAAATGTTGCTTGCTGACCTCTCAAGAGGGTTCTCCCAGAATCTGATTGCAGAATAGGCAGATGTGAAAAACCTGATTACAGGAGATGGTCTTCATCCCCACTGGACTCTCAGGAAACCTTATAAAGACCCAGAGAACTGTGTCCTGGATGCCTGGCTGCATCATCTGAACTTCCTAACGGCTTCTCATGTGCTCCTTCTGCTCTGTCCACTACTTAACAATGTTCAGACAGTGATAAGAGCCTTCTCTGGTGGCAGCATGAAACTCATCAAGGCTGCAGCAGAAATGATTGCTGGGGAGTGGCTTTTCTGGTCTTTTATTGATGTACAAAACAAGCTTGAAAGCATGGTGGTGATGCTTGTTAGTATTCAGTTCGGCAGCAATGGAGGAAGACCCTAATAGGAAGAAAGAAACATGAACATTAAAAACCAGATGCCAAAGGCTAAAATTGCCTCTTGAACGTAATACAGAATTTGAAAATACAGCATCTAGTCCAAGAAATCGATCACCCTGATCTTCCTTCAGTATGTTAGATAGTCTCCTTTGGGATACAGTTTTCCAGGCAACAGGGTAGCACCTCATAATTTACTGTGCCATGTACACACCTCCTAGAAAGACAGAGCACTTAGAAACAGAAGCATTTAAAAGGTGGCAGATCACATAGTTGAATCCAAGGGAAATGGAGCTAGACCCTGTGAAAAGACAGATTTTTTGGGGGGTTAGAAAGGCCCTCCTGAGGTCTCTAGTCCAACAGCATGTTTGCATCATGGCTAACTCCAAAGCTGGATCTGGCAGCTCAGAGGAAAGTTCTCAGTGTTCCCAGGGAAGATCTGAAAGCCTCTCTGGGTTCCAGTACAGCACTATTCTCAGGGGGGACTTTTTCCGTCTATCTAGTTGGAATTTCCCTTGTTACAGCTTGTTCATGTTACCTCATATTCCCTCTGTGCATCTTTGAGGAGAGTTTAGCTACGTCTTTCCTGCCTTTATGTAGTGGAAAACTGCAGTTCAATCCCACTTCACCTTCTTTTCTTTAGGTCTGGCAAAGTCAGTTCCCTCAGTTTCTCTTCATAGGGCAAGTGCTCCAGCCCTCTGCCCTTTGAAGGGATATTCCACCAAACCCCTTCTGGTTCCTAAGTGTCTTTCTTCTACCAGGGAGGCCAGGACTTGACACAACAATCTGTATTTCTCTGGAGCACTGGAACTCACTCACCTCGTTACACCTCTGCGTAATTAGTAAAACAGGGTTCGATGCTCAAAAGGGTTGAACACATAGACCTTTCCATTCCTTCTGTGGAGGGTTGGTAATTAGCAGAACTACTGATAATGGGCCATATTCACATTCATTTTAGGGGTGGCATGTGTTCTCCTGAGACGGCAAAGCAGCTGAGAGAGTGCCTGACTTTGAGCATATGTCCCAGTGCAAGCTCCCTAGCCACCAGGACTGGCCAGTAATCAACACGGCTTGCCTGGGAGGGACAGGTAATTTGTTAGCTGGCTCTTTAAAACCTCGACTTAAAGGGCGTATTCACCTTGTACTGCTGCGCAGGGAACCGTGCTGAGTCAGCTGCAGTTTGTCAGCACTCACAAGTGAGCTTTGTTCACCTCCCTGGTAAGCATCACACTCTGCATTTGATTGTGCGTAAGATGCTAAATTATTTAATCATCTCAGGCATTAGGGGACTCAGAAAGGATGAAAGCCAAGGGAAAAATGTCTCCTAAACCATTACATTGCATTAACTACTTTGTTAGATCAGATGGTTGACTGGATAATGCCACTGAGTGTGTATCCTGTCACCTGAATGTCTTATTCAGACAAGAATTATAAAGGTCAGGTCTTGAGGTATTAAAAGTCCTATGTAATGTTTGGGGTGGATGGAATTGAAATGAAGTGTAAAGTGTACTTTTTCCTCAGTCAGGAAGTTTATAGCGTCCTCAGGCGCTTATAGCATCCTACATACAGGTTAGTTTTGTGTGTGTGACTGTAAGTTCCTGTCTGTACAATGCAGTTGTGTGTATCCCTTCTTCCATCCCCTGCTACCCATTATGCATAGAGGAACCAGTTCAAGCAAGAACTGGCTTGCCCCACAAAGAGTGGGTGAGCCACGAAGTTAACTCCAGTCCTAGTCTTCTCCCCTGTTCAACAGACCACCCCTTTCTTACATAGTAGGCTGTACAAATAACTTCTACAGTTGTATGGACTACAAAAAATAGGGAGCGCAGATCTCAGTCACATGATACTCTTATATATAAACTCTGATCCTGAAAGCAAATCCACTGATCCAGGCTTTTAAACTTGCTCAGAACTTAGCTAAAATCAGTGGCCCTATCCTGAGAGGCAAAAAGAGAGTGCTTGAATCGTGATTACACAGCTGAAGAAACTTTTGGGGTCAAATAGCTCCAGTAAGCTGCAAGCTAATTAGTTGGTAGCTGGTCCATGTAAAAGGTTGATATTATGTACCCTTCCGGTAGTAAAAAACCTGAGAGTACTGCTAAATCTCTTCTCTACTCCTGGTCACAAAGGCACAATGTAGCAGCAAAGTCCTCAGCAGTCTCTTGCTGCTTGGCCCTCTACTTACACAGGATCAAGCTCATGCTTATTTTTAATATTATCGTTTCTGCTAACACCATTGCCAAACCTCCTTTCCTTGGGACTTTGCGTTAATTTTCGCTCTTGATGTGTCCTTCAGGTGTCTACTAACCAAAAAGATATGACCAAGCTCTCTCCAATTCAGAAAGATGTATGCAGCGAAGTTCTGGGGATAGTAATCGTCTTCTCCATGTTGGTATGCAACAAACTTTCTCCAGCAGTAACTGTAATCTAGGAAGAGAGATATCCAGTCACTCTTGATAAAAAGATGCCCAGCTCTTTCTTCATTAACATCAGTTTGTCACTTGTTTCTCAGTAAGAATACAGTAAAGGGCAGTTGAAAGATATTCATGCAATGGATTACACAAATAACTACACAAATGAGTTAGTGGAAAGGAGAACCAAAACTCCACAAATAGAAACATGTCTGAAAAAGAATAGCCAGAGAAATCATTGTGGTGGCTAGGACAGCCCCTATCAAGAACAGCTCATCAAGGCATAAAGCCAGAGCACATTTGCCAAGAGAGAAGGAATCAGCAAGTGGCAGGACTGAAAAGGGAAGTGGTACATGCAAGCCAGAGCTTGTCAGGCATACTTTTTTGGCAGTCTTGTGCTTGATCACACAGCTTTGGTAACACGTGTTGCTTCAATCAGGAATCTGTCTGACTTATCTCAATGATCAGAGAAAAACAGGAGTGAACACTCCAACACATTTATCAGCTTCAGAATGATCTTAGTGTTGACAGGGTGGCCAGAGCTTCTGTCAATGCTCTGGTGGTATAATCCCAGAGAAAGGTTCCACAAGATAAGCAATGTCCTTTAAGAATGCATTAGACCTGGTGGATTTAATAGCTGCACTCTCCAGTAGTAAGTGCCCAGACAGGTGTGTGGGGTTCATCTCTTCAAATGTACATTCCTTTCTGTGAGCTGCTTGTCTCGACTATTTGTACAGCCAAACATCAACAAGCAAGCAAGACGCACACACACAAAAAAGCACACGTGCAAGACGTTCTCTGTGATGCATCATCTGAAAGTCTCTTGCAAGGGAAAGCAATTACTTGATGCAGCTGGCAAGCTGATCTGCATATATATGCTAAGAGGGACAGGTTCTATCTTAAGCCCAGGATTTTTCACTGCATATAAGGGAAGTGTGGATGGCTAGAAAAAGCCCTAACTCTCCATGTTCAGATTTGGCAAGAGGAAATGACCACGTCAGTCCCGCTGCTGCATAGGACTGGGGAAAAAAATAAGGCAGAATAGAGTGACATTTTTGCACTCACTAGTCCTCCCTAATGCCAGTCATCACCTTTGTTACAAACTGAGAGTGCACATAGTCCCAAAACTTTCAATCCACACCTAGACAAAGCCAAAGCGTAGTTGGGTTACCTGCAAGGTTCATGATACGTATAGTGACTCTATTCATCACCAGGTTGCAGAGACCTTGCCGGTTGCGGATATCCTGGTGCCTGAACAGCTTGGCTGCGTATATTTCCAAGGTCACATTACGATATGTCCTCAGGAACTCCAGAATTCTCCTGGAGCACTTTCCACAGGGAGTAGTTGAAAGGAACCAGGTGATGGAACAAGGAGCTGGTGGCACAGCACTGAAACAATTTTCCAAGAAGTTGACTTCAGCATGTTGATTATGATTGTTTGAGAACCAATTCCTCCAGATGGAACCATTTCTCCACCTGATTTCATAGAGCAGGTACACAACGTGTGGATGCTGGTCAGGCAAATAATTTCTTTTGAAGTCTTTTGGCTGTATCTTCCACCTGCAACAAAAGTAACAGCAGTACTGTGATCCCGGCTCTTCAGTGATGTTTGGTCCTCTCGCGCGTTGCCTGCTCTCAGCATCAATAAAGCCTCCCACTCTCAGCCTTTCCCATCACAAGTGAGCAGCTTGAAGAATGTTGCAATCTAATGATCTAAATCTGGAATTTGTTGAAGACTCCAGAACACCCACAGCACCTTCTTGAGAACTGTTGGGTCAGTAAGCAGCCCCATCACCACTCAGGGATCAGCACCAGTCAAAGCAGTAAGACAACGGGAAAGGAAGATTGGGGAAAGGGATGTTAAGAGGAAAACGAGGCACAAGGCTGTCTCTGGAAATCACCATGGAGCTCAAACAGCACACAGTGACAGAGGACATCTCTTACCCTTTTTTTTTCTCTCTGGGTGCAGGATCTATATGGAAAAGATTTGTAAGTCATTGAGGATAGCAGATCAGAAAACAAAATTTCCTCTACACTTTCTCTTCAGACCCCTTTCAGTCTATACGCTCCAAGCCAAATCTCTTTTCTCTAAAAGGGCTTAATAAGTAATGTTTGCATAGCAGGATAAGCACCCTGGAATGCAGGTGGGGTGGATTCCTACCTGGGAGTTGAACTTGATGGCTGTTTAAACTATGCTCAATATGAAACCTTCCTCAGTTTAACACATTAGGGTTGATTGTGTAAACACTCGAGTTTAACTTCACTGATTTCAGCAGTGCTGCATCTGTTTTTCTCTGATTAATCAAAGAGCAGAATCAAATCTCTTATCCCTTTAAATCTTCCAAGCCACTTCTACTAGGCAGGCAAAACTTGAGCTATTTTTCTCATCATGTCAATCTAGACAAAAACATTTTCACAACAAACAGTCCCTTCCTTACTTATTATGAAACCGTTTCAAAAGCTAAAAAAATACCAGTGCCAAGGAAAAAATATAGTGCAGAAAGGAGGGTGATTTCTGACTAACAAATACCCATGGGGTGGCACCACAGACCTGCCTCATTATACACATTTTGTCTCTTGTGGTGGCAGGGAAGTTTGACCCCATGATTCATTCATCCCTTTCAAGTTGAGAGTGTAGAGGAAAACAATTACAGGTGATCAAGGCTCCTTATTTGTTTTGTGAAAATCCATCCACAGTGAAATTAAGGATTGAGGAATAACAGTTTTATTTAATAAAATAATTAATTAACACTTACTTCCCTTTACAAATTTATTTATATACTTATATCTATAATTAAAATTTAAAATAATTTTTATTGTTATTTTACATTTAATATATAATATAATAAAAATTAATTTACTTAGAATTAAGATACTAAAGGCACTTTTTCCACAGCCTAGCTCTTTAAGATGAGGAATTATGAAAAATATGGAGTGAAATTGCATTTCAGGAGAAATAAAACAGTCTTCCACATCATCAGAGACGTGATCAACTCTTTGCACAGCCATGTTGTCCTGATTCCTTAAGAAGAATATTCTAGTTGTTTATCACAATGAAAATAAAATAAGCAAATAGATAAGTTAACTAATTTGCTCCATTCTTATTTTCTTTTGAGACCTCTTTCCACAATAAAAGGATCTTTGATTTTGAATTCTTTCTTCTACATTAAGGTTAATGAAATTATATTAATATTTTGAAGCCGGACCTAAGACTCAGTCTATGATAATGCATTCAAGGAGATAACACCCATATCCACAGTGTCTCCTGTGTATCCTCATGTGCCAACACAACACATTTTTCCCTACTCTCCAGTTCCTCAGATACAACTACAGTCATTATCTACACTCGAATATGGTGAAATAGGCCAGTATTTCACATAAATGTACTTACCTCTGCCACTGACAGCAGCCATGGATGTTTCCGATTTTGTTTGTCGCCTCTTTGCCGATGGATGTGCCTTTATTAGTCTTAAGTTTGTTTCAGTTTCTATTCCCGAATGCTGAACTTTGGGCGTCTCCAATGTTACTCAGCTGAATGTTTCCTTGTGGTGACTTTTTCTGCTGCTTATTTGCACTACCCCACTGGCTGAAACTAAGTTCCTGGCAACAAGATTGTAAATGACGTTGCTGCCATTCAGAAATGGATCTGGTCCTGAACACGGTTACTTACCTTCCAGAAACTGAAACAAACAGGTGAGACTTTTTTCTTTTTTTTTCTTTTTTCTTTTCTTTTTTTTTAGTGCAGACAGAAATTACATCTCTTTATTACCTTTAGCTCCAGAATAGAAAAGCAAATCTTCTCTAGTCACCCCAAATGCACCGAGAGAGAAGCATTTACACAAATGGTATCGAGACACCTAGCTGTGGAATGGCAGATAACTTTTCTGACATCCAGATATATCAGAAAGTTGAGCAGAACCCAGTGGAGAGAGGGAAACAAATGACATCATGTGCAAAACCCCGTGAGTCTGGGGAACTCCAGCAGGTGATGATGGTTGCTGCCATTTCATTTTATGGGACTACCCCTGTGGAGTTCCAAGGACCACCCATACACCCTTGAATCTAGGTCCTCATGTAAAGAAAGAAGACCCTCAATGTGTGTGATCACTGAGCTGTGGTCAGTGACTGTGCAGACACTCTCAGGTGAACTTCAAGCAAGCTGCCCAGCATCCAAGGGAGCTTTAGCAGTTGACAGCTTGTTGTGAGGGAACACCAAGACATTTTTGAAACGTCACAACTGAGAAGAGCTCTGTACTCATATATACTCATCTGAAAAATGAGTGAAACAATGCCAGGTTCTAGTGAGAAGATTTCCTCTGACTGACCCAAAAATGGCTTGCAGAGGAAAGGGATTACAAAACAATTCTTCATATGGCTTAGGTAGAATCAGTCTCTGTCACTTACAGTTTTGTTTGGTTTTGTGACACAATTATTTTGTGGCCCTGATGCAAGCTGTAGGAATGGATCCCTGGTGAGTCATCATCCAGTAATGTGCACTCCCTGAGGATAAAGCCATCGCCTTCTTCAATGCCGAGTCTGACTTGGGATTGTAAAGCTATGGGAGTGATTTATTTGTATTCTCTGCAGCCAGCTCTCAGTATTCTATTGTCAAAAATGGCTCAGTTTCCTGCCAGGGCAGAAGAAACATAAGCATACATGAATGGTGGAGTTCAGAGGGAGTGGGGATTCAGGCACTGGCAAGACTCTTTGCGAAGAAGGTTAGTCATGGAAGGTTATCAGGCAGTGCAGTGCCAACAGAGTCTACCTTCAGGGCCTCTTCTGCTGCAAGGTCATCCCTCACTTCATAGCATAGAATTATTCCCTAGTGGTTGCATTATTTCATACCTTAGGGAAAGTGAATGGGATCGACTCAGACGGAGATTCTTGAAACAAAAAAGTGATTGACTAATGTAGTTCTGAGCTCATGGACATGATTCTCAGTAAGACCAGGAACGCATTGCTACTGTAGTATTCTCTTCATTGCCTTCTCCCTGCAGTAGGTATTTACAAATATGCATATGTAAATAAGGCTTCAAAATGATTGGTCTGATCTGCAAGAAATGGCTTGATTAGCAGCAGCAGTTCCTGATATAAAACCAGAATGTGCCACAGAAAGCAAGGAGAGAAAAATTAATCCAAACAGAAGCAGGGAATTAGCAACACAACATTTTCAGGTATCTCCAGGAAGCTGAGTGTGCTCCATGAAATGGTGGAAAACTAAAAGGAAAAAAATTTAAAAAGGAAATTTCATTCCTGCCAGTCTAATGTGAGGAGAGAAATCCTTTGAAATTCAGTTGCTGATTTAACCTTAATAAAATCAGAAAGACAAGGTTACTTCTAGAAGAACTTGCACATTCTGTTTACAGGGAAAAAACTTCAGTGAGTCAGAGGAGGATGATGGCCTCAGATCATATATCTGGGTGGGAAAAACCTGCTGTTTGGTCATTATGAGCAAACAGCAGTAATCCAGTATATCTTTAAATTACTATGTGCCTGCAGCAATGGTCATATATATATAGGTGGGACCTCATATTACTCAAACAGCTGTGAAAATTTTCTTTATTCTACTGCTCATGTAGTCAATTATGTCCCCTTACAGAAGTCGCTTACAGAAGGTAATGTTAGAGATAAATGTGAAGGTGATTTGTGACGAAGAGCTACTGGTAACATCTGAATATATCTCACCCACTCCAGCAAATGTTTGGGGTTTTTTTTGAAGAACCAGCACCCTCATGTGCATGCCTCATGAACCTAAATGCATTTTGGATAAACATACATAGCAAAGGGCACACCAAACGGTGGACATACCCTCACTCATGACTCCTTTAGCCACCAGGTTCCTTAGACCTTCATGAGAATATTCCCTGTGGTAGTAGAGTCATGCCATATACATATGACCAGATTCACTGTGGTAAATAACCTAGAAGCTTCAAAATGTCTTCAGAACACTTTGCCTCTGAGAGGGCCTCTGAGATATGCACTGAATGATAGAGAGGGGGACAGAGAAAACAGGAAACCAACTCCCTACAGATGTCTCCCAGGAAGCAGCAGCACAACAGTTCTGCAGCTGTGATGTATTACAGAGGTGGTGTCTACTGATGAACCACTCCCCTGGTTTACTCGCTGAGCCACTTGTGGCTTGAAAGAACAGGCACATAGTTTGCATTTTTTCTCAAACGTCTTTTGTCTTATGTGACACTTGAAACCCAAGATGCACATCTAGTAACAAATTTGGGCTGAGGGAAAGTCCTAGAAATGGAAACATATGGAAGAAATTAGGCAAGACAGACATGTTGGAGAGAAGAGGAGCACAGAAGAAGGAAAGGGAGATCAGGCATCAAAGGACACAAAAACGGACAAGGTTTGCATCAGCCCAGATCCCAATTTGCAAATCTCAGAGAATTTTACAGGTACTCAGCTTACTATTCTCTGGATGAATGATCTGTTGCAAAGAGGTGAGAATCACCCAGTGGAAGTTTGGAAGCAAAGAGGAAGACAAAATTTAGACGTGACTAAAAGCCTGGGGCTTATGCCACAGAGACTTAGGTCTCAATCTCCGTTTACAGACTGCCTCCTGGTCTTAATTTGAAATGGTAATCCTGTGTTAGTTCAAGTGTTCTGCTGCTGGCACATTTGACAGTAAAAGGAAAAATCCACTGTGTGTTTGATTTTAATGGAGTTTTCTCAGTAAAGATCTCTATTTTTTATGGAAAGAAAAACCACACACAGAGTGTTTTAAGATTTACTCTGTGACCTTCACATTTAAAAAAGGCTAAAATGTGTCTCTATGTATGAATCTATATGTATGAATACACACTCACAAAGATATTTACAGGTATTTATGTATGCACAAAAACGAAAACAGTGCATATGAAAAAAAAAGGTTGTAGATACACAAATACACCGCCTTAGCAGCATAGGACTTTGCAACTCTGATTGATAAGCACACTACCCTTGGCTCTTTTATCTCTCCCTGCACCTTTGCCTTCCATTCCTCTGCAGGTTGCACAGCATCATCAGACTTCTCTGAGACTCTTGTTCAGCTTCCATATGTGGAAACCGAAACTTAAGAGATCAAGATAACTGGTGACACAGTGCTGCTGCTGGGTGAGCTCTATGAGTCTGACTCTGTTCAATGAAGTGGAATGACAGCCAGCCACGAGGGTGTGCAGGCAGAGCCCTGACCCAGGCAAAGTGGAAAACAGGCAGCTAGTAGGAAACACTTACCTGCGTGCTTACTTCAGTATTAATTTTTCTTAGATAAACAAAACATCCCAATATCCTTGTAATATAATTCTTTCACATTAACTGGTGAGGCTGCAGAAATCAGAGAAGTGGACCAAAGATATCTGATGAGCATGAAAAAAGGAAACCTGCAAGTGAAGGTATTTTGGAATATGTTTTTCTACTCCAAGAAGTCCTTCTACAGTCTTCCCATGCTACTTTGCACCTCAGAAGTTCTGTATATTTATCTTTTTGATTTTGCCTCATTTTTATGTCTTTGTTTCAGTGCACATGCTTTGTCAAAGCACTAAGCAGAACAAACCTGGCGGGCATCAGTGTCCATAGTCCCCTTGAGAGCCTGACTCTCGCATACTGTCATCACACAACCAGCAGAGTTTAAAATAGTGAGGGGGAGAGCATAACCAGGTGGACTTGAGAGAAAGCAATGATTCATCCATTCCTTCTTTATCACACGAGAAAGTGTTCAGAGCAGCTCCAGAAACATTCAGTGCTGAGCTTTTCTTTTCCAAGAACTCAGGGATTGCTTAATGACAACCATATACGGTTAAACTTTCCTCAAAATTCACCCAGAAGCTGTAGCTCCCATGGGAGGTAAAACCTCCATCAAAAGCAGAAAACATCCGCCAGAATCAGGTATTACAACCAATAGGAAATGGTTAATTTTCTTCACAGCAGCCCATATAGTACTGGGGTTTAGCCCAGTGACCAAAACAGTGTTGGTAATACATCGACGTTTTATCTACAACATTTAGCATTTGTTTGACTGTGTCCCCAGGTGAGTAGGCTGGGGGTGGGCGAGATGCTGGAAGGTTACACAACTGGGACAACTGACTGCAGGGATCTCCCATGTCACGTAATGGTATGTTCATGGAGCTAGCAGTCAGGATCAACCAAGAGCCCAGATTTTCATGCTGACGAGGCAGGTCCTGTGTCAAGCTATGGAGTCAATCCTTAGGTCAGGATCAGGTCCTGTGATGGCAACCAAGGTCACATACAGACAGTGATCACCAGGCTGGCCCATAGAGATGACACGGGTCTGACATTAACCCAGAAAATCAGTTCATGGGTCAGGAAATAGATCAACAGGATCCATGGCTTGCAATGGGCATGGACATATGCACGAGTGTGAGAGATGGAGACCAACACATCTGCACCACAGCTCAAGCAGGGACTAACAGTGCAGGCCTGAGCTTAAATGTCATTCCTGGGCCATCCGTGGGCAGTGTGTCAGCCAAAGTCCCAAGTGAGGGTGGACAAGATAACCAATTTTTTTTTTTTAAATCCTCAAGGCCCTGAGAGGTACAGACCATAATAACTGTCTTTGTTTCTTACTGTGAAAACAATTCAGGGTTCTTGCTTGCTCATGACATAGTAATGTCACAACCTTGCTTTGGCCAAGAGCTGGTTACAGTGAAAACAGGGGCTGAGTGTGGTAAGTCAGGGCCAACAGGACAGTGTAAACAAGAACTAAACTTAATGAGCTTTGGCACAGACAATGGATCAACGAGCTACAGAACCATCCCCAAAGCTCCTGGAAAGGTGTACACTGTGATATTGTTTGATTGGCAGCCTGTGCCAACACCTAATTACAAACACCTTCAGCATTAGAGACTACAGGGCACACGTGGTCCACTTAATAAATTGAGCTTAGCAGTTTCACGTTGTCTGTGTGTCTCTTCCCCCCATAACAGGCTGTGTGGGCGGTTTTCTCTGACTCTTTAAAACCACCTTGAAAGCATCAGCTCCTGAACACATAAGATTCTTTACAGAGAGGGTGATCAGGCATTGGAACGGCCTGCCCAGAGAGGTGGTGGATTCACCATCCCTGGAAGTTTTTAAAAAGAGATTGGACATGGCCCTTAGTGCCATGATATAGTAATTAGAGTTGGATCAGGGGTTGGACTTGATGATCTTGGAGGTCTTTTCCAACCCAATCTATTCTATGATTCTATGATTCTAAGATGTTAAGACCCATACATCAAAACAAGAGAACGCATCTACCAAAGTGGACATTATTAACTGAGGAGTGCTGCGATTTTGGGAGTTACAGGTTATCATCTCTAAGTTTTCATAAGCCAGATTCTCTTTAGGTTAGACTGGTCCAAAATTCTGATTAATTCTATTGACTACGTTAAAAGATTAGCAGTAAAAATGAGAGAAGAATCAGGTCCAAATATACCTTTAGAGTTCAATTACTAAAATGGGTATAAGTCAATGAATATTTATCCTAGTCTCGCAAAAATAATCTAGGATCAAAAACAGGACATGGAGAGAGGTTCTATTCCCAAGCATAGTACTGACAGTAGGGCTTGTACCTCTGCACGTGACAGAGGAACAAACAACTGGACAGAGCACCAAAGAACTCAGCTTGACTACTCCAAAGAATACAGCTGCATTCTTACAGTTCTTCGTGCAGCTTAATGTGACTTGTTTTTCAAGGGATTTCCAGTGAATACATCTAGCAGTCCAGTTCCAGGATGGACTAGCAGATAAAAATACCTTCTTACTCCTTTTCACTAGCTGAGTGGAGATGCTGAACTGCAATGACCATGGATACTGTAATTATCATCTCACAGTCACACCTTTTGGTGGATGAAGGATTTGCTTCTGTCAAATGGAACATCTGTGGATTTTTAAGTTGTTTTTTTCAGATCAAGTGGTGCTGTCAGTTAAGTGTTATAGCTCCCACTGAGTCAGTGGGAAGCTCTCCAGGTTAGCACAGTCTTTCAAATGAAGACTAGTGAACTGACACTTGCTGTGGTAAGTTGATCAGTTTAAAACAGAGGGAAGTGCTTATTTACATGGCAAACTATGAACTTCTGGAATCTTCTGCCCCAGTAAACTGTGGATGCAGACGGCAGGACAGGGTCAAAGTAGATTTGAGAAACTCGTGGTAAAAAGTCCATATACGGACACTAAAGGTAAGACGCAGAGTTCCCAAACACAGTCATTGTGAGTATTGAGGTACTGTGACAGGATCAAAATGAATCACAAATGGTGGCCAGGATTGTCTGCTCTGAAAAATGCCTCCTTCTGACACTGCTAGATACAGTGTCTAGACTATGCTTTCTGCCCCGATGGGGCATTTTCTGTGGTTTCAGGTTCGTTCTGTTCCTCTTGCACCATGAGGTAGGAGACAAGGCTAGCCGAGAGGACAGCAAGTCTCCAGAAAGCACTTTTCCTTTTGGCATCCTGACCTTTTCTTGTCAGAGATTAATTTTTCAAGAGTGAAGGAAATAACCTGTTTTCATCAAAATGCGTCAGCTGAAGTAAAAGTGAATTAATCAACTGTTCACATGCTAATTTAGCAATTCTCTTTAAGTACCCTTCTCCCACCATTCTGTGCAACATTAGGCCACATCAGAGGAATAACAAAGTTAGCAGAGTATGGGACTGGGACACTTCTCCACTCTGGCTGCTCCCTGCCTCCGTTTCTATATCCAGAAGTTTCTCACTAGGGATGTTTAGCACTGTCTAATATATTCAAGCTTTTCAGTGAAAAGCTGTTGATCCAGGTTGTTGGTGGCTTTTAGAAAATGGGGAACGTTAGGAACATTTTACATTACAACATTCTCCACAGAAGCAGTAAGGCCATTGTGCTGTGTGTGAAACCTCTTAGTAGAGGATCAGAGATAATGTTGGTCTGCTACTCAATGACAGAGGTCATGTCACAAATAGGAACAAAGCAGAGATGTTTAATACCTTCTTTGCCTCTGTCTTTAGTACCAAATGATGGGCCTTGGGACCTCAGGAGCCCTGTGTTGAAAGACTGTGACTGAGAGGATGATAAACTCAGAAAGTTCAAGGTTGTCTCTGAGTTCAAGAGTGGCTGCTCCAGATGGATAAGCATAAATCTGTGGGGCAGGACAGGCTATGCCCCAGGATACTGAAGGAGCTGGTCAAGTCTGGAGAGGTCCCGGTCAACTGAAAGACAGCAATGTTGCCCCAGTTTTCAAGAAAGGTTAAGAAGGAAGCCCCTGGTAATTACAGGTCTGCCAGTCTCACTTCATTGCCTGGCAAAACTATGGAGAAGATTATTCTGAGAGGTAACTGCCGGGTTTCGAAAGGGCGGGTCTGGACTGCCTACTCTGAGGTAGCCAAAGTTCCAGATTCCCTTGGGCTAAATAAAGGCAAAACAATGCTAAACAATCAATTGGAAAGTTTTATTTGTATAGGCAGTAGTGATTTAAACTTTATGATAGGTTAGGCAACCTGTAGAAACAACGATTTAAACATTTCTGAACAGCAAGTGGACAAAACCTTTCTGAACAACACATGGCAGTGATCTTTGAACAGCCTGCAACCGCAGTGAATTAAACTTTTAAGGAGAGGAAGAAAGGAAGAAGGAAAGATAGGAAAATAGAGGTAGATAAAAAAAAAACATCTGGATCACCACACAGGATTCCAGTGTCATCTCTGGTCCAGTTCCTCCGGATGGAGGGTGCATGGATGGTGGGTGCACACCCTGCCCATCTGTTGCGCTGTTTATAGCCTAGTCCCCACACATGTACATTTTGTGATTCTCAAACTTTGCAGAAGAGGAGTGGGGGGTATTGTGCTTTCAATTACCCTCCTCCATCTGAGACACAAGTGCAATGCTGTCTCAAATTGAGTTTTAGAGATAGTCACCCAAGTTAAGGAAGTTGGACACAGAAAAGCACTATCCTGCCTTCTCAAGACCCTCTTTTCTAACTGCACCTTGTCTCATTTGCACGGTAACATTTCTTTTCTCTTCTGACAGATGTTTGAGACACTAACTCTTTCAGGTTTTCAGTCTCTCACAAGACTGCAGTCATTGGTCATAGTCAGCACAGGTTCACAAAGGGAAAGTCCTGCTTAATCAACTTCATTTCATTTCATGATAAGGTCACCCACCTAGTTGACCAAGGGAAGCCAGTAGATGTGGTGGGTTTGGATTTCAGCAAAGATTTTATACTACTCTCACAGTATCCTTCAGAATAAAATGTCCAGCACACAGATAGACCAGTCCATAGGGCACTAGGTAAGCAACTGGCTGATAGCTCAAAAAGCTACAGTAAATGGGGTTACATCAGGCTGGTAACCAGTCACCTCTGGGGTTCCTCAGGGCTCAGTCTTACAGCCAGTGATCTTCAATGTTTTTATAAATTATCTGTATGAGGGAATCAAAGGTAGGAATCAAAATTAAGTACTTATTTCAATGACATTAAACTAGAAGGAATTGTGGACTCCCTTGAGGGTAGAGAGATCTGGCCATGCAGAGAGATCTGGAAAGACTGGAGAGCTGTGCAGTCACCAACTGTACAAAATTTAACAAGAGCAAGTCTTGGATTCTCCAGCTGGGACAGGATAATTCTGAAGTTGAAGTAATCCTGAAGCTGACTTTCTGGTGACCAGTGATAGGACAGGACTAAATGGAACGAAGCTGCATTAGTAGATGTTCAGCTTGGACATCAGAAAAAGGTTCTTCATTGAGAAGCTGGTCAATCACAGAAAGAGGATCCCCAGGGAAGTGGTCACCACATCAGGCCTGTCAGAATTCAAGAAGCACCTGAATGATGCTCTTAGTCATATTGTTTAGTTTTAGATAGTCCTGCAAGGAGCAGGGTGTTGGACTTGATGATCCTTTTGGGTCACTTCGACTTGAGATATTCTGTGATTCTTTGATTCTATAAATAAGGATACTGAAATGAAAACAGAAGTATGATGTTTAGATCATCTAATTGCACTTTGGACCTGCTGTGATTTGTAACAGACATAATCACTGATCCACTTAGCCACAGATTTCTTTCACTTTGTTTCACTAAAAATAGCATTTGTCATAAAACTCTACTACAGTGAAATCAAAATGCAGCAGCACCTGTATTAGTTTTGCTAGATTTTTTTTGCACACTGTATTTTTTTCCTATGTCCTTTCAGGCCAAGGATGCGGACCTATTCACTCAAGCACAGTCTCTTGTCTCCAGAGGCACAAACTTTCAGCACAGTTATTGAATGCACTCTCTCTTCTGTCTCCTGCCTTTCAGGAGGTCTGGCACAAAACAAAAACAAAGGTTGAATTTTCCCAGGGGACAGACATTCTCTTTTCAACAGCTTATCTCACAGAAACTGTACCCTTCCAACCAGTCGTGGAATTTGCTGGATTGAATCTGGAAAGGACTTCAGTGAAGTATTATAGAGGGCCCCAGTGACTGGGAGGCTGTCAGACCACTAAAGATATTAACAGAAAGGGGGTGAATAGCATCATTTGGTGAACTGAAACCCATGCTCAGATTTGGGTTAGGAAGGAATCTGGTGGAGGGTTTCTGGGATAAGCCTGGAGCTCCAGGTAAAAATCAAGGGATTTCCCACTCTGGAGCCTGAAGGAGAAAAACTGCCCTCTTAGCCTTTGCTTCATAATATGTTGCCTAAATGGCTGTGGGGAAAAAAGACTCCAAGCCAAATTAGGTAGGAGATAAGATAAGGATACAAAAGTTTTAATGAGCCCTCAGGCTTTCTGGAATACCCTCAGCTCGTGCTCCCGAAATACAGATGTCCACAGTTTTTATAATGATTTTTGCCCAATCCCCGTCCTGTTACCACCCAGGTTCTGCCCCCGCCACGCCTCTTGGGAATTGGGTCTGGGGGCGTTTTGGGACCCCCTCTTCTTCATCTTCATCTTCCTCAGAGCACGTAATGTCCTTGGAGGCCTTCCAGAATTCTAGGCCTGAAGGTTGTTGGGTCTATGGCTATATCTTGTTCCGTAGGGTTAGGGTGTTCTTCTACAATTCTACCTTGAAAAAGAGACTAAACAGGCTATGGAATTCAGAGAATTGATATGGGAATGGGTAACAGGGGTTTGAGCTGGTGTGTTAAGGGTAAAGGGATAATATGCTGCTACTCTAAAATCTACATTTACTACATAACTACTTCTAAGGTCTACAAACATAAAAAAAAATTAAAACATCAAAACTCCAAGGTATCAATATGATGGGAAAAAATCCACAATCTTTCTCTCCCAATGGGACAGGATAGTTCCCATGATTTTACTATGTTACTTTTTCCAAAAAGCCTGCTGCAGCATTCTTTAAACTCCAACTAGACGTGAATGGCTTCCTTCCTTCTCTTTACAGCTCAGTTACCCCAGATTGCAAATCAGTGTTCATGTGGTTCCCTCTATCCCTCAGAGTCTACTAACCTCTAAGATGTCCCAGAGTTTCCAACGATTCGCAGTTATCGCTGGCTGAAAGTTCACAGTCCAGAAACCATCAGCTGCAACATAACCTCCTCGGATAAAGTTTTCCACACAGTCTTTATAGTCTGGAGAAACAAATGCAAGATGATTAACTTGAGTTTATTCAGATACCAGAGAAGCTCATGGAACAAGACTTTTTAACCTCTTTCTTGTGTCCATGTTACAGAGACAGCTTGGCCATGGACAGGTAAGCTCATGGATGCTGTCCACTCTATATCTGGAACCAATGCCATTCTCCCAGGGCAATTTTTCCCCTCTCTTATCTGCAGAGGAGCCCTTCAGCCAGCCTTATCCCAGCAGATGCATTTAGTCCCCAGGGACAAGAGAGAAGGACCTTATCTCCCATTCCCTCAGGAGTGACATAAATACGGCATCTCTAAACAAGGGAGATTTTTCATACAGGTCTGGTTCCTAAGAATCCTGTCCCTCTTCTCCTGCATAATCTGGTTTTGGATGCAACATTCAGTCACTGAAAGGTGATTGATATGCCCTCAGAGAATCCAGGGAGGACACTGGGCACAGAAGAAAGCCCATAACAGATTCACCCATCACAAAGTTCACCAGTTCACCCCTTCCCAATTCCACAAAGCATGGGAAACCTTACCTTGCTTGTTCATGACATTAATGTTTACTTGCTCCGACCTCGCAAGTTTCTTCAGGCCTCTGCGGTTTCTTTCAGAGTCTTTGAAGTAAAGCCGTGCCACACGAATGTCTATGTTCACATTCCAGTGCGTCTCTAAGAAATCCAGTATTTTATTGCAGCACTTCCCACAGGGGCTCCAGGACAGGTACCACGTGATGGAACAGTTGACATAATAGGAAGGACAGGATGGTTTCATTCTAAAGATTTCTTTCAGGAAGTAGACTTCAGCATGATAATAATCATCATCATCATAATAATTTTTGACCCAGTGTTTCCAAGACTTTTTGCTCTTACCCCATTGCAGTTTGCATAGTAGATACGTCTCCCGTGGAGACTTAAAGGGATCAAACTGGTCTTTTAACACCTGCTTAGGTATATACATGCTGAAACAGAAGAGAGATTTAATGAAATCACTGGTTACAACTTTGTTTTCATTAGTACTCCAGTACACAAAAAAGGGGGAGGATGCAGGAAATGAGAGGAGACCTAAGAAGGGCAAAACACCAGAGAGCACTGCAGAAAAATGGGGAGGTAGGCACCACGGCAGCGTGAAGGAGCCAAACCCTGAACCACTAATCCTCCCTATGGCTGTCCTCTTCCTCATCCCTGTGAGTATTTCTGAAAGCTTTCTACTTATTTTTAATGTGTCAGACATTTTTACAGGGCTTTTATCTATCCCTCTTCAATGTAGGGAGCCATCGCAAATTTTGTCAAAACTAAAAAAAAAAAAAAACAACCAAACCACCGATAAACCATGAAGCTGAATATTTCTCCTTATTGGATTCTCTTGCTGATTGTACTTTCATAAAGATTAGGACAGTCGGCACAATCCTATATGAGAGGAAAAAACCAAAAAGAAGCGCTCTACACAAAAAGATGCAGCTCCCAAGAATGATATTTTTTGACAGACAGTCCATCTCTTAGATCCAGACCTTTTCAGTTCAGAAGGTACCTCTAAATATTGTCAATTAAGTACCTATACAAAGACTTCCAGTGTTGGTCATGAATGTATCCTTTATATTCAGTAATTATCCATAATACATAAAGAAGATATGAAGTCTCCAGAGGCACTTTGTAGCCTTCATGCAAATGCCTTGTATAGAAATTTATATGAGAATGCACTTCAGATATGTTTTTCCACATTACAGTAATCCAGAGTAAATCTAGTAGACAACTGAACAAACTCTGAACAGAAAAGCAATAAGCCTGCAGATTGTTTTATAGATTAGCACCCACTAATAAAATTTAAAAAAAAAACAACAAAAAAACCCAAACAAACAAAAAACCAAAAGAACAACAACAAAAAAACACTAAACCAAATAAACAAAGAAAAAAATCCCACCACCAAAAAAACCCCAATCTGAACAAAGGACAAATGAAATCTTACAGATACTGTCACATATTCTCTAGTTGCAAGACTCATCACCTACTTAAAAATCACATCATTTGTCTGAGTCAGTCAAAAGCCTCTGTCTTCTTACCCTGTCTCCTCTCTCATTGCAGTCTCCTACATGCTAAAATACATATGTACACAAACCATTTTATAAACCACAGAGTGCATCTCTCTTTACTTCTCCATGTAAACTCCCTTTATATAAACCACAGACATCAGGCATGCAGATTTCTTTATCAGACTTTCTATCAAATTTATGCAAATGTAACAACTGTAAATGTCACCAAATATTTAATTCTGGTACAGGAATAACTTTTTTATTACACATAATTCCTTTAGTAGGTCATTAAAAAAACAACAAAGAGAGGCAAAAGTGAAGCACAGGTTCAATTTTTATGCCTTCTCATTTGAGGTGTTAAAAGAGATGCATTTTTTCTGTTTATTTTATGTTATTTGGAAGTTAATGTCTATTATCTTAAATTTCCTTAAAACTTGATTTTTAAGGAACATATATACCTAAAATAATTAAATCATATGTTCACAATAAATATATAACACGTATAACAGGTTGAAGTTCACCAAAGAAAATACACTGAATTCCAAACACTCAAGACCAACCAGTTAATCTAATTACTACATAAGGTATCTTTAAGTTTTTGGAAAGGGATGCTACAATAGATTACAGAGATCTGATTTGTTCAAAGGTATCTGTAGAAGTTGCCATCTGATTATAACATACGAACAAGTTAAATCTTCCAAGTCTTACTTAAACTGGTCTTAAGCACCTTCTTGCCTGTGTTTCGACCATAACATACTGCACTTTGGATAAGTGGATGTCCTGTGCATATTTTCAGGGACATAAAGCCATTTCTTCAGAACAATCTTGCAATACACTAATCTTCGAGATATAGCCACCTTAGAGATGTGTTCGGCAAAGAGAAATTTATGGTGTAATCAACTTAATGCAATATAAGAAAAAGACTTCATACTTGTAAATATTTGCTATGTAACAAGATGAAACTTGCTATTGTTTAAATAACATGTTAATGTAAATTTAAACAGCTTTAACAGACAACAAATTTAAAAACCATCACAAAACATTCACACACTACAGAATATATACAGAATCACATAATCCTTTCACCTATTCTTTTGTCTCCCCAAACAAGAAGAGAGAATACTTAAAATAAATTGTGAGTTTACAGATAAATTGCCAAAAGCCGTGCAATCACTTAATTTTTTTTTCCTTTTTAAAGTTTTCACAAGCAGTCCTTGCTGTTCAGCATGGATATGTATGGTACACATATGCACTCAGAGTCCAACTCAAAAAAAAATCAAGCACTTAACAGCTGGTTCCTTCACTTAGATATAACACAAAGTTGAGAGTTAGCAAATATTAAAATAAATAAATAAGAAAACATTTTTAGTTCTCTTTCTATATTTGGTGAATCAGTCTCGTGAACCTTTTCAGAATTTAAGGGTTGGAGAGAAGTACACTAACTGAAAAGAGTAACTGAGAATTTAAAAGGTGGGTTGTACCTCAAAGCATTTATAGGAGTTAGGGGAGAAAATGGCAGAGGGATGACGGCCAACGTAACTGTCTCCTACGTTTTACTTTCTTTTTCATTAATATGCAGCTGCTATGTAAACTTGAAAATTAAATTGACTGATTACAAATATATCTTTAAATGTGTTATTTATGCATTTTCTATTGTATTGTTCCATCATCCATAACTTGAACAGGAATGCAATGAGATTATTTTTAAATTTTACCAAAAAACCTAATATCTCTCATTAAAACTTTGTGCAATAAACTGCATCATTATAGGCTTTTAATAATTTTCCTTACTTCCTCTACCACTTTTTATTAGAAACTATTTAAAATTCTGTTCATTGCAAGATAATAATAGTAATAATGATAATGTCTAAAAATACACAACCATAGACGTGTCAAAACCTCTTTAATCTGCATTTTTCCTCCCATGCTAATGCTTTGCACAACCGAGGCATTTCTTTACCAAACTTTGCATTAAAACCTTGTTTCCCCCTCTGCTGAACAGAAAATGCCTGCTCCGACACTTCGTTTTGTGTCACAACAGCTGTTTCAAGACCTTGAAACTGTCGAGCAGGGAGAAGCGAAGTTTTCGGATTCCCTTGCTGCCCGGCACTGGGGTGAGCCAGCCTTAGCCCTTCCCCAGCACATCCCCATCTTTCCTTTGCTTTTGTCAGTGCCTTTCGTTTCTCGGTGGTTCATGGCTCCCATGACGGCCTTTATGCCAGCGGGAACTCCCTCAACAGGCTCAGACTTCGGTGCAGCTCCTCGGCCACTGCAGCTACCCTTGGGACAGGGCTCCTACTCGCTTACACCGGCACCAGCATCGCCCTCACCCTTCCCCAAGCAAGGCAGACACTTTGCACGGACTTTGCACGGACTTTGCATCCCCACCAACCCCCCCCACCCCGCCCCGGGGCAGCAAAGCAAGGGGTCCCCTTGGGTTGAAGCAACAACGCAGAGCTGAAGCTGGGGTGGATTTTTTTTTTTTTTTTTGCTCATCAGTTTCCTTTACCCTCTGATCTGATTCCTGTACATGGCTCCCACTCTCCCGGCGGACCCTCCTGGTGCTGTCCTCCCTCCTGCTGCTGCCGACGCGGCCGACGCGGGAGCAGATCCCCAGGCTCCGCTGGCACAGGAAACAGGAAAACTTTGCTTGACCGCAGTTCCACCTCGTCATGACATGTCCGTACATGCCTGCCATCAGCGGTGCTCTTTCCGCTTTCTTAACTCCTGCACGGGGCGGCAAGGGTTGATACGTGTTTTGGCTTAAAAAAACATAATAATTGAACAATCTCTTTGAAGCCCGCTTCTGAGTTTCAAAGGGATGATAACGCTTCCTTGGCAGAAAAAATGAGATTTATTCTTCTGTGTGTTGCAAATAGTCTGATAAATAATTAGGATTTAAATACATAGAAGAAGTAGTTGTGATAAAATAATTGAGATTTGATCATATAAAAGAAATAGTTCATTCAATTAAAGGTAGAAAATTGTGAAGCACAATGTACAGAATTGTTAAGGAGTATTGTGTTGGAAGTATGCAACCATGGATACCTTGCCAAGAAGTTATTGGACCATGTATGTTAAGTTACTGGACCATATATTCTGCTTGGAAACCCCCTCACTCCTTCCCAGCTTAATCTCCGTATCAAGGATTCCAATCAGTAAAGCTAAGTAGAACTGACCAATTATTGTTTTTGGAATAAAGATATATAGACTATAGAGCCAATTATTGTAACATTAGATTTAAGAATGGACTTACGTAAGAGTGAAGAAGAAGTATAGAAATGAATAGAAGAATGGACTTATGTAACATGTGCAGAACACTCCTCCCAGGGATGCAGCTGCTTAGCGTGGCACACAGACCTTTCCTGAAGGAAAGCACAGTAGTTCTGCCTCATGCATCGTCAGACCTTTCCACGCTGTCACAGCTTTGTCAAGGATGAAGTGCTCACAAATACCACTGATGAGAGATTTCACTCACAAAGTGTCAGCAAAGATTACTTTCCCTATCAGACCCAGGAGACTTTCCTCTGTGGAGAAAGAGAGGGATCCATGTGTTGGGAACCATGCAGCAAACGTGGCATTCAAGGACCTCTTAATCTCAAACAGACCATTTTAGATTCTGTATCTTTTTTTATGGAATATCTGAAGAGAATTGCTGAGCCCTGTCTCTTCTGAGGGACAAGGACCTTCAGTGATTTCAGGACTGATGTTGGAGCTAATGCCAGATGTTGACACCAGCGTGTCTAACCCACTTGGCTTGAGTGCTGGCTGCCACAGAAACTACCTTTCTCCATAAGGCACAAAGTGAGTATTGTGGGCTCTTGGATAACCAACGTACCCCACCCTAACCTGATGGGCAATCTGGTGTGTGGCTTGGAAGTGAGTGTCAAGGTGTGCATTACCAGTGTTTTCATTTTTACATGGCTGTTTGTAAATGCATTTTAAGTATCAGCGACAACAATGCAATTTTCTGAAAGCTAGAAAGTATGACAGATACTGCCACGAAAGGTCTGCTAGGAATGTACTTCTATAATAAAAACAGAACACAAATGGAAGTTCATGGTGGAAATTCATGAAGGTCAAGGTTGTGATAAACTCATCTACCTTTGAATGAAAAATATTACTAAGGAACAGGCCTCTTTGTAGATTTCAGATTGAGGTGCATGACAATTTTAAGATAAAATGGTGACACTCAGCCTGTAATGGGCTCACTGGAGGTTTGATGGGAAAGCTTCCTGCAGGATAATGTGCAATATGTGTTTGTTTCCATGATCCCTTCCAGTGACTCTGCTCTGACAGCAATAAAAGTCACCTGAGATGAAGTCAAGAGATGGGATAAGTACTTTCCTGAACTGCAGCAGCTCTGTGTCCCTAGAATGTGCCTGTCAACATCTTCCTCCAAAGACCTAAGCAGTATGTGATGGGCTGAAACTAAGCAATGCCTATGCCTCTTCTCCAGAAGCCATTTCCCATTCTTCACCTCTAGCTCCACAAACCATATGGCTTGCATCTGTGACCTTTGCAAGTCCTTAGTGGACAGACACACAATCCCATAACATGCAACAGCTATAATTTCTTAGGATTAATAAACTTACCTCAAGTCTCACTCTAATACTCTCCATCATGCAACCAACGTTAGTGAATGACACAGGGATGTAAAACTAACACATCCTGAGATGCAAGAACATACCATTTCCTAGGTCAAGTTTTCTTTCAGTCTTTCAGACTTCATCATCTCCTGCGTACTGGCAACAGCAGCATGGCATGCTGGTCTGGATTTCCTGTATCTTGAGGAGAGGGATGCTTCTACTGTGCTGTGACAGCTTCACATCCTCTGTCAAGCCACAGCTTCAGTTTCTCTGATTGAGCTGGCAACAAAAGACTGGATGTTGAGGGCTTTCAGTTTCCAAACACCCAGGGCTTGAACCACCTCCTCCTGCTGCTGCAGTGTCCTAGGACTAGATGAAAATGACCTGCTGAACTGCTGAGTTAACATTTTAGCCCTCCTACCACAGAGTGGGAAAGCTCTACTTGAGGTGATGTCATGGGATGGTGTTTGCTCTCAGAAGCAGTCAGTCCATTCCTGGGAAGCTGCCCAAACATCTGCTCTCTGCAACAGGAGTGCACCCTTGCAATGCACAGCACGAGCCATGCTTAGTACCTACCACCAGGAGCACCAGCTTCCCACGTGCAGGGCATGGCAAAAAAATATGCTGGCACAAAAGCACAGCTGGGAGGAGTCAGCAGAGCCCTGTCAGAATGTGGCTGTGGGCCCACACCTGAGCTAGAACAAACGTGCAGCACCTACCAGTGACCAACAGCACTGCCTGGCATTAGTGGTCAGGAGTCTGCTGGGTAATTAATAAGCCTTATTAATTACAGGGGTCCAATGGGGTTATAAATAAAGCAGGTTAGGTAACTAGATTGGTAGACAGCCAAAGAAAAAAGAAGAACACCGATGACTTTGATCGATTTGGCCGCAGACATTTTGCCTCTTAAGCACTCTGGACATAATTGTTATTTCAGTGAAAGCTTGGATATGAGAATGAAAAACATGATGTGAGATCATCAGCATGTAGGTAACTCAATCAGAAATACAAAACATCTTGTTCTGACAGCTCAGTCATGGGACATGAGTCATAATGTCTTAGTTCAATTTATCTCATTCATTATGCTGCTCTTTATCTATATTACTCAATGAAACAGAAACCAAAACATAACTTTTATGATTTATTTTCCACTTTTAAAAGCTTGTAGCATATCAGGGAATATCTCCTAGGCACATATTAGATGCTGGTCCCCCAACAGCTGGGCCTTTCTGACCCCACATCTATTATGAATCTTACTAAGGAGGCTTTATCACCTCACAGGGTTGATAGGACAGGAGAATCCGCACAAGCCAGAAGTTTTATAGGAGACAACTGTCACCAAAATCGGTGTATCAAAAAATTACAGCACTTCCCAGCACATCTCTCTGTGGCCTCTTGGATGTTGTTGACCTTTGCTGTCAGACTCTGAAGTCTTTTCTTGTATCTCAGCCCCTCTAGCATCAGACCTGCGTCACAGCCACTCATCTGACATTATATATTTGTCCAGACCCGTGGGACAAAGAACAGGAAAGACAGTTCAGAGCTCAAAAAGCAAGAGGTAAATAAATACCCCAGAAAAATTATTTATCCCTGTTATTAGGCTTGTTTCTTTGTTTTATTAGGCATATGCTTCCCCAATGATTTTCAAAGAGTTTTGATAATGGAGAAGACAGTGAAATAGTTTCTGCTTTGAAAGTTGGTGTTTGAAGAAAGAAAGATGGGGAAAGTCTACCTGAGCAGTGCAATAACATAAAGGATTTTCCCTCACTCTTTAAAGGAGGTTTCTCTTTTCTGCATCATCCATATGCTATCTGGACACTTGTGCCTGCCAAGAGACTGCCCTGAATAGTGATACTGCCCTTTGGTTACTCCACCTAAATTAGCTGGTTAAGGAAACTCTCCCCATAAAGAGGAAACATGAGTCGGAGAGAGGCAAAGAAAGCCAGGCTGGGGTACAACACATCTCCATGCAGCTCTAGTTGTCCATTTGCAAGGCCCTCTCATTGACAGAGAAATTAATTGGAGACATTTGTGGTAACAGAAGCCAGTCCACCCCTCAGCACTACCCAGATTCCATGACACCCCAGAGGCAGCAGGCAGCTGCCTACACATACTTGGCACAGCAGTATGAGGAATGAGCCAGCAGATCTGGGAAGACTTGGGCAGGACTGGTCCCTGCTACTGCCTTTGGGATAGCCCACACTTGGCACAGCCAGTGGGGAGCCTCCCTCTGCATGCTGAGGCCATCGCTGCTCCTGTCCCCAGCCTGTAAATGTCCCATTTTGTTCCAGTCCACAGACAGCCCTTTGCTGCAGCAGCACCAACAGCTCTAGGGAAACCCTTACCTGCCCTGTGGTTCAACACTAATGAGTTCAGGTTTCCTTCCAGACACAGATACATGAGAATCACAGAAGCAATGTATGTAGGTGGTGGAATTTATGAATCTGTCCCCAAGACAATCTGTGTCCATCTCCTCCCTTGAATCTGTGCATCTCCAGAAGGCAAATCCAAGCTGCAGCAGTGGGTAGTAGATAAGTAAAAGAAGAGATGGAGATAAAGAGATTCTTTGAGAGCATGGTGGCTGTGCAGGGGATGGTAGGACAAAAGGTTTTGGCAAAAGCCCATGGAAAGGGAAAAAAATCCCAATTCAAGTGAAAGCTACTGTAAGACAAGGAATGAGGAAAACTTCATTTTCTTCTCTCAGGCCCCAGTTTGTCCCAGTCTTCAGCTTTAGAAAGATACAACATGAACCAGGACAACTCTATCTTGACTTCAAGTAATAGCTTGTGTTTGTGTTTATACTGGGATTTTGTAGCAATAGAAGGAGGAAGAAGGAGCAGAGTGAGATGTGAAATAGGCTCAAGCCCAAACCCCCAAACAACAGTCCAAGTTGCTTTACTGGGCTTGCATTATATCTTTGCAGATGTTTTCAAGCGGGATACAGCACAAATTATTCATAGGACTGCAGCAGGATTATCTCTGACTATTTGTTACTGCTGCTCTGCTGCCAGTTACCACCCTTGCAGTTCTGTTATTGGGATGGACAAGATGAATGGTGTCATCCACAGATTTTTTAAATGTT